ATTTCACACAAGTTGCTTTGGTCTTCTTGATACTATGGTCGAAGATGCATTAGCCACGATGTGAGCAAGTTTAGCACATCTCTGCAAATATCGTTCGGCAGTATCGCGATCCCGGTCCCGTCCAATGCTTTATCTATCTAGTGATACTCACATTGCATCCGCCGACACACTTGAGGAGTGCATATCTCGCCACAAGTCCCAGCACATACAGGTCTCTTCACCTACATTAGACTTGACTCTATTCTAAGGAGTGAACTTCTCTCACTTACATTCCGTTGTACCACCCGGATGCTTTGTCCAACATGCTCTCGCTGAGAATCGCTTTTCCATGCGTCAGCGCTTCCGCCTATAAGCAGATGCTGCGCGCCGGAAATATTGCCGTGTTCAACAGTAGCAAAGACCGTAATGTAACAATAGTAAGGATCTGAAGACCCGTGATAAGAGTCGTGGCAAAGAGAACCGCTATTTTCGGTCCACATTTCCTCGTCCATTGTTGCACATGTGCAGCTGATAAGACCATCGAGCATATCTATCGTTCTTCCCGCGCACGGAGAAAATCAACGGGGAGTTTTGCTACACCATTTAAAACTCAGAGACTTGCATCCCGACCTGTCTCGTGACGCCCGCCAGGAACAGTTTGCAGCATCTTGTACGCATCGTATATTCACTTAAAATGATACTACGCACGAACAATGGCGCACGAATAATGGTGGATGGCACAGCTTGCGTCTGCCGATAACTACGAGAGTTTACAAACGTTGAAGCAGTGAAAGGAATGACTGGCGATTACAGTAGACGCACCAAAGCTCGAAACAGAACCCGCTCATCACTTGTGACAGGAATGAAATGCGGAGCCATTTGAGTGTCCTAATTACTCATTTAAGACAGCAACTTGCTGTAGTGTGATGCGCCAGAATACAATGATGAATTTTGAAGTTGTGGATGCGTGGATACGCTGATCAGACAAGAACTCAGCATGAGCTTCCATCGAGTATCACTAGCTTCACAAGTTGTCGTTTTCACGGAGAATAGTGAGCCATTTAATTACGAATCATACGAAAGTTACAATAGGGATGAGAATTGGATCACGTCACGGTGTATACTGCGTGTACCAAGTTCAAAGCTACATGAAAGCAGTAAAAGCCTTAAAGTCTCGCACAAAATGACTGAGGTGAACAAGTAGTCGCCCACTCCCGTGTTGCGTTCGATTGGGTCTCTGCGTCTTTCAGGCGAAATCAATTGTCTTTCTTTTCTGTCGCCGATATTTAGACTTTTCAAGCTATTTCCTAAATAGGATAAGCGGGATGACGCTGATTAGATAGGACACTTAATGAAAGCAGGTAAGAATTAGAAGCGCTTCCTAAAAAGTACATAAAAAGATATCCTCAGAGGAGCGAAATAGCACAAATCGAAATGGCTGTTCTTGTTGCGGACGATACAGTTGTGCCATTCCCTGGAAAACCGTAAAAACAAAGGTGTGTTCGCCTGAAAAATGTGCTACGGTTAGGCTATCCATTCGCCTTTTTAATACGTGTCAAAAATGGGCAAAGAAAAACCACATTTTAATTGCAATTCAGTAGAAACGTTTCTAAGATCACGAAGACCCTCCGCTTTTTAAACGGCTGCAGCCCCAATGTTTTGATGGCTGCTCAGGTCACTCTACGCCCCTGCCCTCCTCGCAGACAACCCCGTGATACGACCTCTTTATCATGTCAGCTGAAGCGCGCGTGTATGCTTTTTGCGTGTTCTCTTGTCTTTTAAAAAGTAAACTGGGTTTAGGCTCCGAGTATCGAACTTCCCGTTCCTACATCATGTGTCCTCTCGTCGGCATTTGTTTAAGACTGGACAAGGATCGCGCGGCGGTCATGTGGACCAAGAACAATGTTTGCGACCTGTGTTGTGGATGACTGACTGAGTTTGCGGCTCATCCGGTGTTTCATCGTCCTATATCGATTAAAGAGAGCGGCGTGTCATTCAGTGGACGAATTATTTAGTCATTCAATGGACGAATTATTTAGTCGAATTTGTAATAAATTGTCGATTACTAGACGGACACGACTCGCTCTTCTAGTGTGCAGTAAACATCCACCAGCGGTCGTTTATAAATGAAAGAATGAAATGCAGCGGCTCATCTGACCATATTTAAGTAAGCATTAGTTCCGCTGCAGGTTCCACCGATTCAGCGTCCGCCGCTGCAGATTTTGCCGTGGCGCCGTTGGCTCCCACCCACGCCGTTACAAAAGATGTCGTCTCGCAACTGAAGACTGCACCCCGTTTGAAAAGCGGAGGGTCCTATTCATCTTAGAAACGTTTCTACGGAAGCTCAATTCAATGGCAGTCTTTTCTTTAGCCTTTTTTGGCACGTATTAAATAGGCTAATGGATAGCCTAACCGTAGCACATTTTTAGGCGAACACACCTATGTTTTACGGCTTCCCCCATTCCCTCATCTCCAAGGTCACTTTTCTTGCATGTACGACAGCGCAGATCCAACAGATAAAATCCATTACACCCATTGTTCTACCACTACTCTCCACACCAGCAGCGTGCTCGTCAAATGCAACGACTTGGACACTGACGTGTCTGACTACGAACCACTAGCGGCTCATTGAATACACATTAAATGAAATACGTCAACAACAGTCATTTTGTTGCCAAAGTTCTATCGTGAGTAATTTCCCTCGCACTTGTTCATTGTAAGCAGCTCAATTACCTCGATCAGCACTGGTAAACCACAAGACACACGACGTCGGCATTCTTCTGCCTCGAGCGGAAAAAGGTAAGCTTGCGTCAAAGAGGCATGATTGTGGATACGACGCACAGGTTGCGGTGAGAACGTAAGACGATTGTCCTCCTTCAGCCGTTCTACAAGAAATGGCAATGCGTATCACGTCTTTCGCGTTTATCGAATGTCGCGAAGGCGGGACTAAGAACGTTGTGACACGAAGTTGTCCTCACCAACGCTTTGCAAACGGCATGGCAAGGATTACAAAGTGTCACTGTGATAAACGAAGCATTTCATCACTGGCTTCCAGTGCTGTAAATTTGATATCGACAGACAAGTCCTCATTTGAAGACAGGGCTCGCACTGACGCCAGTCACTTTCGTACCACTTCGTTCTACACGATGCCAAAAAAGAGTCCGATGGGAGCCAGGCACGAATAATGCCCCCTGGTCGTGATACTAGTCCACGCAGCCAGCGATCGCTCTTTTTACAGTGGCCACCGCTCAGTTGTCAGGTCGGCTATAGACAATGTTAAGTTGAGGCGACTTTGGTGCTCGCTATCAGTCTTTAGTGCGCCGTCAGTATGCAAAAATCCATTATTTATCGACAATGGACGACTGGCGCTGTAAAATAACGCAACCGCGCGACCAGTCAGTGCATTGCGCCTTAAGCAAGTCCAGACGCGGGCAGATGTGCGGATGCATGCTCCATCTCATCCCTCACAGAGCATTACCCGGCCAGAGCCGCGTCAAAGTGATCAATCTGCTTCGTTTGCCGTCGGACCGCGTACACAGAACAGAAAAGAGCAGAGCATGGAATACAATGTAGGACCAGCAACCTGTGCTCATACGAGCGGTATCTCTGATCGTCAGCATTTCAGGCGTATGCCGTCCTGAGACTATAGTGTGCCTGCACTTCACGCTATAGAATAGCAACGTGGTATCTCGATTCTGTCTGGTACAAATCCTGGTGCAGAACTTGCAAGCAACGGCGTAAAACTGTCTGGATACGACATTGAGACTAGATGATTCACTAGGAATTTCAGTGTCGTCGATTTCTCGGGGTGTCGTCGATCGCTTGGGGTGTCGTCGACCGCTTGGGGTGTCGATACCTCATGAACTGCAGCTTTTATTCCAATGTAAAGGTGCTTGAGGTCGTGTGACATCTTCGTGTGAAAAAGAAAGCTCCAGCAATACCAACAAACTGCACTTGTCCGGCTTTTCGTCAATGTGGCGACATTAGCCTCACGCTTGAGCAGCGCGAATGAACGAATCGCAGATCCATCGAAATTATCCGCACTTCGTTACCAGCAACGCTCAGATGGTCGAGTCCGTGGCCACACAGTGCAATCTTTGACGAGCTTTGGGAGGCAACTGTATCACACACGTTAGACTCGTCCACCGTAACACTTACAGTGAAAGAACAGTGCAACAAATGTAGCATATAGTGCTTGTCAAAAGTAGCAGTATGAGACATTGAATCAGACGTGTTAAAACATGGCGTCGAGAGACCTTTACTCGACCGTCTACTGGGACTGCTGGTGCTGTAGTTGTCGTGAATAAGTACGGAATACTACCGAAGGATCGTCGAAAGTTCCAGTCATCTCAGTAGCACAACTTGACTGACGAACTGATTCAGCCATAGAAGTATTCGGCGTGAAGCACCGTTGGGATGTGAGTTCTTCAGCTAGAACGATACGTCTCTAGGGACAAATGCACGTAGTAGCGCTAGTCTTTACACTGATAGTGTCTGCTCCTTCTCCTGTCAACGAGGTGTTGATGCACGCATGTCCCTTTGTTTCTTAGGAGACACACTTACTCCGTACATGCCAGTACGAAGCTGTGTGTCTGTGTCTTGTGGCCACATTATATCCGAGACCTGACCGATTTCGTTTACGCGTTCAAGAGTGTCATAGAAAGCCGCGTGAGTCAAACACAAGCTCAAAAATCGTCGCGCTCCGGCCGACGAGCGGTAGTGATTGCAGAGACGACGAGGCTTTGCTCGTACCTTATGCTTTCGCCTGCGCTTGTATTGCACGAGCGAAGATGGCCAACTTGAAAAAAGGTTCGGAGCGAACGCACTCATCGAACGAACACAGATCGTCTGTATTAAAGTCGATCGTCTCCGCTAGTCTGATGCCGATGTCGTCGTCCTAATTCCAGTGACACAGTTGAGTTTTTGCCAAGTCCGGGTCAAGTGCCACGTTGCAGTCCAGCCCCAAGCAACTTCTGTTGCTTCATCTTCCATCCCCGCAGCAAAAAGACTCTAGAATATCGATGAGCTTCGTGGAGATACCAACAGTCGCAAGTTCCCGATCGAGTCCTTCGCCCTCGCAATGGACGGCACCCCCTGCTGCTGCTTGGACGCGTGAGGAGATCCACATGATCCAAGAGATGTTCCTCGTGGATGACAACGTGATTCAGATTCGAGACATCTCGATCAGTGATGGTGCGCCGTCGGGTGTCGACGACCCGTTTGTTACCGCCATGGAGCAAGATGGGTACGCCACTAGTATGCTCTTGTCCCCCATTGAAGCAGACGACCCCTTCGTGCAGCCGCCCATGGGGGACGAGAAGGATGACATGACAGCATTCTTCGTGGAAGCTATCGACTCATTCAAGACTGTGTCTATGGCGCCCGGGTTCATGGATGACCAGGACAAGGGTGTTGTCTCTAGGGTGCCCCGTTCAAGCGAAGGCCAGTCGCTCAATTACGCGCTGGCCAAACTGCGTGCCAAAGTGGAGACGCTTGACCATATCTACTACGCGCGGTGCATGAAGGTATCGAGTGTCGATCGCTCCTGTCTGCACAAGATGAAGCTGTTGCTTGCGATCAAGCGACTCGAGCGCGTCATTCACGGACTCTCGCAAGAGAACGACAACCTGTTGATCGGCACGAGAAGTTACGCCCAGCGCTGTGACTTGCTCTTGCAGAAGAGCAGCAGCAGTAGCATCGAACTCGAGCAGCTGTGTCAGTCGATCGGGGAGTCCACCTGCGCTGTTGCAGTGAGTGAAGGCATGACCACGGCGCTCCATTGCTCAATGGACGGGCAAGTGCTCCGAGATGAACTCGACAAGAATGGGTGGCGGTACAAGAGCCTCGTGTCTCCAGACGGGTTGTTTACTTTCAGCTTGTCAAAGGAGTATCCAAAGGGCGTGGACATGCGGGAGGTGATGGAAAAGTCATGGGCCGATGCTTCCAACTCCGAAAGCTTATCAAGTATCTACTACGGCTCGATCCGTGCGCGTCAGGTCAAGCAAATAGGTAAAAAGGCTGTTGTGATCTACGACATTGTCAACTATGACGCAACGCGTGTCGACCGCGTCGTTGCGGTGCTGTTCCGAGCCGAGATGTCGAACGGCCTTGTCATTGGTGTGCGCTCAATTGCCTCACCTCCTTCTGCTGCATCTGACGATGTCCGTCCGATGGACTGTACATTGTGGCAGCGGTACGAGAGAAAGAAAGATGGCGGGTTTATCGTCACGTCCGGTGGTCGATTGTCCTACCCGTCACGAGCGGATATCGAGTTCATGGCTGTAGAGATCATGTGTGTGCATCTGCGGTGGGAGAATAGTGTTACGGGTGGTCTGATGCTGCTCATGTAATGAAGATACTACTGACTGGTGGTCCTCACTAGACCGACGCTCATAGGACAAGTGTGCATATGGAGAGAGTGTTCTTGCAGTGCAAAATTGGACACTCGAGACGTATGACGAGCTCAGTAAGCGAGACCATGAGAACCCCCGACTTGGCGGTAGGTATAAGCTAATTTATTATCCGTACAGTGCATCGATGCAACCTAGTTCTCTTACTTCCGGACTGCTTTGTGACTTTTCGTCCTAGTATGGATGGATAAATGAATAGTGCAGTCGCCAATTAGCGTTCGATGTGGTGACAAACGGGACAAATGTGGGTGCAACCCGGACCTAGGATGGAACTGTGCAAGTGGTACGGATTGTCAACCGTGTGATGTGCTGATTATCGCGGCCACCATGTGGTTGCAACGATCAGTAGTCAAACCGGATTAGCATGTCTCTTGCGGTGTAAGTGCTACTGTGAGGACTGACTACCCGTCGACTCTACAATAAGAATCGGTCATTTTAAATGGAACAATAGCGCGGCTGGAAAGGGATGGACGGTACACTGGCGAAGCAACAGTTTATAGGGTATCCAGACGAGGTCCCTTGAAGACTTTCCAACCGCAACTCGGAAGTCAGCGCTCGTAACTGGGGTGGTTGTGATTTACTCTGCATGGCGGCGAATTTATTACACCGTAAAGTATACGTAATCGCACGAGCTAATTTTGTCACTGGCACCTGGCAATGCAGTCCATAGCAGGCCTGATAAAGATGTGGATATCCATAATCTAAATAAACTAGCCTAGTTTATGTAAGGGATTCTCACTAGATTTACGGATTTCCAAAACGAAGTATATGTGTGCGCCATGCGCTGCGCCAACGTGTCGAGAACATCCCGCTGCTTCGTTTGGAAGATGCCTTCATCGAGAGGTGCATTAATCACGTGCGGTTTGGGTTCAATTCCCACTTTAAAATGGAAAATCGGATACATGTTTGCAAACACAGTCGTCAGATCGTCACAGAAGGAATGAAACGGGGTATCCCGTTATATGAAATTGACACCGAACGGAGTCAATTGGAATATTGTCTAGCATGACAATATTTTACCGATATTATCCGAGATGGATATTATTGAAGGATTATTATCCTCTTTTGATAATATTCATGCGCTGCTCCAAGATTGGTTGATATAAGACATGTCAACCATAGATTGCCACCAATTGCTGCTAGACGCGCGTAATGAGTAGTGAGCGTTGTCGTCATACGACGACGTAGTTTAACATAGTTAGATAAATGCTAAAGCAATATTGATAGCTTTACTACATTAAATACAGTTCTCTTTTTACCTTTACTCAAACGAGTCATTTTAGTAGATTAGCATCCTCTGCACGTACTAGTGTACGTGAAGTTTCGTGGCGCCCAAACAAAGGGTGCCCCGTCACACCTGGTAGCACTTGTAGGCCGTCCAACGACTACTAGTGTCCGTCCAACATGAACATGTTGGACGTAGAAGACGACAGCTTTCACGTCACACGTGAAGGCTACTCCCGTCTAAGTGACTCAGGATGGAAGGTAGTCGGCCGCATGTGTGTGCTCATGGGCGAACCCGCCATCAGTGGCATGTTGGAGTCTCTACGCAGAGACCAGCAACATGCTGCTACCAACAAGTTCCTACAAGGTGAACTTGCCGTCGAAAGATAGCCTTGCTACAGCAGCAAGGCTTTCATCTGTCAATGGGCGGGCCGACGCACATGCGTCGACCCGAAACCTTGAAGACTGATATCTCAAGGTACAAGGGAACCGATGAAGATTCTGTTTTGAGATGGTTCGTCGAGTTAGACGACGCCATCAGGGCCCGTCACATGGAGGGTGACGAGATGCAAGTCACCTTCGCCCTGTCAAATTTGACGGGACGAGCAAAGACTTGGTCCTTAAAGCTCAATCTTCACGACCCAAACGTGTTTGAGTCGTTGGAGATCTTGAATTCTCGGCTTAAAGAGACGTTTGAGCCGCCAACCAGCCGAGTTCAGAGCACGCTCTACACTCTTGAGACTAAAGCAAGGTAAGCGTGACGTGCACGCTTATGCACAGAACCCGCGCTACCTTTCGAGTAAAGGCTAAGGCAGTCGAGCACTAGATGGTAAAATGCAAAGTGAACATTTTTAGGTCCTGAGTTCACAAACTCTGTTGCTACTCTAAGCCTACAGGATTCTTCAACTACACGTTCCTCATCGCTATATCGCGCGTTACTAATCGTATAGTCGCGCATTAGTAATCGCCACATCGCGCATTACTAATCGTCTAGTCGCGCATTACTAATCGTCTAGTCGTACGTTTCTAATTCTGGTCGTGCGTTTCTGAACACCCAAACGTACCGAAAATGGGGGACGTCACTGTCTGGCAGTACAGTGCTGGTGAACCCCAACCCCCGATCCCGAAGGCTTAACTTGTTGTTTGTACGCCCCCAACGGTATCGAACCAGTGAACTTTGGGATGGTACTGCCATACCAAACCGGCTGAGCTACAGAACACATTTCTGTCACATCATGCCGAGACGTCTCTTTTACAGCACTCCCACTCGTCTCGGCAGATCGTGGCGCCTTGATTCTCAACATGGTCCGAAGTTTCTGGAACTGTACGACGGTGATCGGCTTGGTCATTATATCGGCCTTCATGTCCTTGGTTGGGCAGTATACTAGCACCACTTATCCTTCACCAACCTTTTCACGAGCAAAATGGTAGCGAATGTCGATGTGCTTGGTGCGTTTGTGAAATTCTGGGTTCTTGGCCAATGCTATCGATCCTTGGTCGTCCTCGAAGATCTTGACAGCTTGGTTACTTGTCATCTCACCAAGTTCACACAGGAAAACCCTCAACCAAACTGCTTCTTGTGTAGCCTCCGATAGCGCCATGTACTCTGCTTCCGTTGATGATAGTGCCACCGTTCGTTGCTTCTTTCTCCTCCAGCCGATGCGACTGTTGTTCATTATGAAGCCACTTGTACTGCGCCTTGACTCTATGTCGCCGTCCCAGTCTGCATCCGAGTAGCCTTGAAGGCTGTCGTCTTCACTTGCTTGAAACTCAATTCCGTGTGTCCTGGTACCATTTACATACCGAAAAACCCTCTTGAGTGCTTGCCAGTGTGTTGGACACGGTTCGGAGGCAAACTGGCTGGGCACTCCCACTGCAGCTGCAAGGTCGGGACGGGTGCCCACCGTAAGGTACATAAGGCATCCTACGGCGTTCCGGTAGGGAAAACTTGCCATCGTTTCTTCATGCTTGCAACCTCCTTCGCACATGGCCTTGGTCAACTTCAGGCCTGGGTCTCGTGGCGACCTGACTGAATTGCTATTCAGCATGCCGAATTTCTCTAAAATGTCTTTCGCGAACTTGTTCTGCCGCAATGACAGTGTCCCTCCTAAATCATCCCGCTCAATCTCAATTCCAAGAAAGAACTTGAGCTTCCCCATGTCTGTCATCTTGAACCTCTCACTTAGTGCACTTTTGGCTTCACGAAGGATCTTGTTGCTGCTGCTGGCGATGATTAAATCATCGACGTAGAGTGCCACGAAGATCACGCGCTGCTCATCTCGCTTAATTTAAATGCTGTGATCGGACTCGCATTTCTTGAATCCGATCTTGATCATGAACTCGTCGATGGTCTTGTTCTACATCCGCGGTGATTCTTTTAGGCCGTACAGTGACCGCTGCAGTTTGCAAACGAAATGCTCGTGATCTTCGTCGATGTAGCCGTCCGGTTGCTCCATGTAGATGTCTTCATCCAGCTCGCCGTTCAGAAACGCGGTCTTGACAATCATCTGGTGCACATCAAGTTGTTACTTGGCTGCCAGACTGAGGATGACTCTAATCGAAGTGAACTTGGCAACCGGAGCAAATGTTTCCCCGTAGTCGATGCCAAACTTCTGTGAGAACCCTTTGCAACAAGGCGCGCTTTAAAAATCTTGATCCCACCATCTTGATTCTCTTTGACGCGGAACACCCATCTGCATCCGATAGTTTTCAGACCCTTATGTAATTGCACCAACTGCCATGTCTTGTTCTTGTGGAGGGAGTCGATTTCGGAGTCGCACGCTTCCTTCCACTTGACCGCGTTGTTGGATTCCATCGCTGACTTAAACGTTGTAGGCATATCTCCCACTTAATCCACAACGTAGGCTGTCTCAAAGTCTTCCTCGACTTGTGCCACCGCCGGCATGTTTCTGAGCAAAATTCTTTGACTCTGCCGCTTGGAAACCGGAATCTCCACAGCTTGTTCCAACGAAGGGGTTCGCGTGTAGCGCTTACTGCCGGGCTCCGTATCTTGGTCTTGCGCAGCGTCTTCTTCGTCAGGCTGAATTGGCACGGAAGAACATTCATGACCTGTACCCTCATCTTCTTGACTATTAAAGACATCTTCTGCGTCTCTTTCGGTGCGTCTCCCACTGTCGAAGACGTCTTACATGAATTTTGCGTCGCGACTCACTAGAAAACGACGGCTCTTGATCTCTTCAAAGCGATACGCTTTCTCGTGTTCAGAGTATCATATGAAGCGGCAATAGACTGACTGCGCATCAACCTTGGTGCGCTTTTGTCTTGGGACCGTCACGTATGCGTGACAACCGAACACCTTCAGATTTGAAAACAGCGGTTTCTTGCCGGTCCAGATTTGATGTGGCGACTTGTCTTGACTTGTGGCACGTGTTGGACATCGATTTCGAAGAAATGTAGCGGTTACAACTGCTTCACTCCAACATTATTTGGACAGTTTGGCATGCTCCAACATGCAGCGAGCGCATTCCACCAATGTCCTGTTCATCCGTTCTGCCACTCCGTTGAGTTGAGGTGTGTAGGGAGGCATGAACTTTTGTACAATGCCACGACTGCTGCACAGCTTGGTCATCTCATGCGACTTGTACTCTCCGCCGTTGTCACTGCGAAGTAGCTTGACGCGGTTGCCTGTCTGAGTCTCTGCAAATGCGACAAATTCGGCGAGCTTAGAAGCACTTCAGACTTGTTTTTAAGCAAGAACACCACACTAAAGTGTTAATACTCGTCCATGAACGTGACAAAGTGTCTGCTTCGACCGAGCGAAGCTGTTTGCATAGGACCACAGACATCGCTGTGGATGACTTCTAGCATCTTCTTTGCACTCTCTGGGTACTTTGGCATAAAGATCACTCGAGTTTGTTTGCCAAGAGCACACCCTTGACACATCTCCCACTGTTGCACGGACGTGATGTTGATGCCGATGCCGTAGCCCTTCTTGACAATGGAGTCTAGACCGTTATGGCCAATATGGCCAAGTCGAAGATGCCAGAGGTACGACCGGTTGGTCCCATTAAACCGGTTGAACTTGACACATTTGCCTCATCTGGCGTTAGCGGGGTCATGCATAACTTGAATAAGCCCTTTACCTTGCGCGTACCCAGCTGCCACTTCACACTCTTCGAATGAGCAAAGCACCCGTCACTTTTAAATGTGACGGGGCCAATGTCCTTTGTACGGGGCCAATGTCCTTTGTACATTGGCCCCGTCACATTTAAAAGTGACGGGTGCTTTGCTCATTCGAAGAGTGTGAAGTGGCAGCTGGGTACGCGCAAGGTAAAGGGCTTATTCAAGTTATGCATGACCCTTTGTACATTGGCCCCGTCACATTTAAAAGTGACGGGTGCTTTGCTCATTCGAAGAGTGTGAAGTGGCAGCTGGGTACGCGCAAGGTAAAGGGCTTATTCAAGTTATGCATGACCCCGCTAACGCCAGATGAGGCAGAGAACAGGTTGCGCATCAACTTGGGAATGTGCCACACACCAGTAAGCACACCTTTCTTGACGCCGTGTTTTGTCCTCATTGACATGATGATGTCTCCCTTTCCCACTGCTTGTACCACGCCATCATCCGCCAAATGCACATCCACTGGCGAGATCTTCTATTAATTCTTCATGTACTCTTTTGAGTACGTCATGTGCTGAGTCGCACCTGAGTCGACCAGCCACTCTTCACTCAGCTTGCCGTGGTCTCCATCAACTGAAAACAGAAAGTCACCAGAGTCTTCTTCAACCTGCGCGACGCTTGCTCTTTGCGACCTCTGCCGTTCCGCATTCTCGCGGATCCTCACTGGACACTTTGCAATCCAATGGCCTTGCTCGCCACAGTAGTGACATGCACTGGCCTTCTGCACAGGCCGTCCTCCTTTTCGCTTGCTGTGATTGCTTGTCATGAACGCTTGATCTTGACCGTGCGCGGATCCGTCGACGCCGCCACCTTGTTCCTTACGCTTCGTGTCTACATGCATTAGCCGAGACGTCACGAATTCCCACGACAGAGAGTCAGCACGAGACTCTAACGCCGTGATCAGAAACTGGTACGACTCGCTTAGACTACCAAGAAGCGTGATCACTAAGTCGTCCTCGCTGACCGGAGCGCCAACCGCATCGAGCTGCTCCGCCAGAGTCTTGAGCTTGTTGATGTGCTCCAGCACATCATCACCTTCATCCATCATCGTTGTGAAGAAGCGTCGACGAAGAAAGAGCTTGTTCGCCAGACTCTTCTTCTTCTCGTAATGCCCTTCCAGTCTTGACCATGCATCGTACGCTCCAATTGCTGAAGGGCCACGCGGCAGCTGCGAATCTTCCATCGCGAGAAAAATGATCGCCAGCGCCTTGCGTGACTTTCTCCTGAACGTCGATTGATCCATCACGTTGGTGCAGTGCTCCAGTTTGACTTCTCCACATGTGACCTCCCACAGGTCGCGCTCTTCCAGGACCATCTGCATCTTGAACTTACATGTGTGGAAGTTGGTCCCTTGGAACTTATTGATGCGGGCGGTCGGCGTTACGGCAGCGTCCATGGCGAAGGCGTAGTCGGAGTCTTCGTTGGAGGAAATGGGGCTTGGGATCATAACCTAAAGGCTAAGGCAGTCGAGCACTAGATGGTAAAATGCAAAGTGAATATTTTAGGTCCTTAGTTCACAAACTCTGTTGCTACTCTAAGCCTACAGGATTCTTCGACTACACATTCCTCATCGCTATATCGCGCGTTACTAATCGTATAGTCGCGCATTAGTAATCGCCACATCGCGCATTACTAATCGTCTAGTCGCGCATTACTAATCGTCTAGTCGTACGTTTCTAATTCTGGTCGTGCGTTTCTGAACACCCAAACGTACCGAAAATGGGGGACGTCACTGTCTGGCAGTACAGTGCTGGTGAACCCCAACCCCCGATCCCGAAGGCTTAACTTGTTGTTTGTACGCCCCCAACGGTATCGAACCAGTGAACTTTGGGATGGTACTGCCATACCAAACCGGCGGAGCTACAGAACGCATTTCTGTCACATCATGCCGAGACGTCTCTTTTACAACAGCGAGTAGCGTTACGGAAAACCCTGTTGGTGAGCACACGCTCATCAACGTGTTTATCTACGGTCTTGTTGATGAGCCGGTGAAGACCTACATGTTCCGAGAGGACTTCCATACGCTGGAGTAGGCGATAGCGTATGCGGAACAAGAAGACTTCAGCCTGAGACAGGCTAACTCGTCAAACTATCGTCCGACGAGACGACAGGAAACCGGAGGTCCCGAACCAATGGACATCTGTTACATCGAGAGCGAGAACTCTTGCTCTCTGAGTCACAAGCGAACGGCAAGATGCCACCGCTGTCAGAAAATTGGACACTACGCTCATGAGCGTAGTGTACCGAGCACCGCAACACGTCCAAAGACAGAACGTGATGACCACCATTGGCCAAGGAAAGGTCCGAGGCGTGGGTCCGACCATGTCGCTAAGCCGCGACAGCAAGTCGGACCCGCCAAAAAAGCAGCCAGGGTCAGTAGAGGCGGAGCACCCTGCTGATCCAGCAACGTCAAGAGAATTTGCAGGAATCTTGAAGAAGATTGCTCCCAATGAATAGTCTCTGTGTGTTACTGCCTCTAGTGATGAGGAGTCTCTCATCACTTTAAAGATCGAAGTGACAAATGGAATGTCACTTCGCGCCCTAGTTGAATGTGGTGCGTCGAACAGTTTTATTCAACGTCAGTCGCTAGGGGATAGTAGGCTCAACTATGCTGAGCGAGAGTTCCCTCCAACGAGGATAACGGTGTGCCTTGCTACAGGCGCATCCGTAACAGTGAACAAACGTGTAGTGGAAATTCACTACACGCTAGAAGGAAAGCAGTGCGATGATGACTTTACCGTATTGGATTTGGATGACAAATTTGATGTCATCCTCGGTCTGCCATGGCTTAGAAAATACCAGCAATGGGTTAGCTGGCAGCATCGATCCGTGAAGATGCCTGCCGTTTGTTCATCGGATGGCCATCGGATAAACGTCTTGGAGCGTCCACAAGCGTGCGGATGCACTACGAGTGAGTGCGATGGCCTCAGTTGTGGTACGGTCGTTAGTACGACTGCACAAAACCACATTGCAGAAGGCCACTACACTGTGGAACCAGCTTCCGGCACCTGTGTAGAGACACAGGCTGCGCCGAAGGTTCACCACTCGAAGAGATCAAGCGGAATAGAACACAGATGCACACCAAGAAGGGTGCATCCGAGAAAGAGAGATTAGTGTTGTTCAGGATAAAGAACACGTTGAAGCAAGATCGACTAACAGAAAGTCGATCGTAGAGCAAGCCCGATCGACTGAAAGAGAGTCGATCGAAGAGGACGTGACCGTGATAGTACACGTAATGGAAGAAAAATTAGCTTTCAGGGAGTGATAACTTCCGAGAGAGTTTTGTTGAGGGTGTGGATCCCCAACCACCTGCAGATGTGTTTTATTCCAGGAAATCACCGAGTCAGTGAATGTCTTGGTGAATGACGGATAGAGCGTAGGCGCTTATACACTTAATCTGATTACGCCCCCGAAGTCAGCTTCGGAGGTAGTCAAGTTGCCAACGCTGGAATCTAAAAGATTCTTGCAAGATCTGCGTAGTGACCAGATCAAGCAGATCTGCGTACTCGTCACAGAGGACGAGCACGTCGCCGATATTCGGTCGACACAAGTAATTAAAGTGTTTACTGAAAAACGAACGGGTTCTCAGTGGCTCATCGACGGCCGAGAGTGTTCTCGATGAGAAGACTCGGATTGAGCGATACACGTCTCAATCTTGGGAGTATTGAAGACAAATCCTTTGTATAAGGATCTAGTTGAATTCAGGGATGTTTCCCGGAATCCGTACCATGAGAGCTGCCTAAGGACAAAGGCACTCGGCGTGAGATTGAACTGAAACCAAGTTCAAAATACTGTGTCATGAAGCAGTGGCCACTGCCTCGTGAACAGGTCACAGCAATCGACAAATTCTTTGCCGATCGTTTAGCGGCTGGCCATGTGAGAAAATCGACATCCCCACACAGCTCTCCGAACTTCTGTGTGCGAAAGGCCACAGGAGGGCGGCGGATAGTTCACGCGTTCAACAAATTGAACGCTGCAACGGTGCCGGCTCAAACGCCGATACCAAGGAAGGACGTAATCATTGATGGTGTGGCAAAAAGTACCATCTTTTCGTCCATGGATTTGATAAATGGATTCTATCATATCCTCATGCGTGAACGGGACATCCTGTACACAGGAGTGAGAACCTTCAGTGGTTTGAACCGGGAGTGGCTAGTGATGCCACAGGGGCTAAGAAACTCCCCCGCAACGTTCGACAGATGTGTTACGAATCTGTTGCGATCGGTCAAGATTTAGCACCGAGTTACTTCGACAATGGCTTCGTCCATAGCCGGGCTATAGATGGAAAGACGGACGTGGAGATTCATAGAATCCACGTCCGGAAGGTTCTTACTCTAATGCGAGAGCATAAGTTGTTCGCGAACCTCAAGAAGTGTAAATTCGCAGCGAGCGAAATACCACTTCTTGGCTGTATCGTGGGTAAAAACGGTGTACGCCCTGATCCGGAAAAGATCAAGGCGGTTAGAGACTAAACTGTGCCAGTCGAAGTCAAGGAACCTCGAAAGTTTCTTGGTTTGGCGGCGTACTTGCACAAATACTCGCGCAACTATGCCGAGATGAACGTAGATCTCTCTCTTCTACTAAAGAAAAACGAGAGGTGGTCATGGAGTGCTGAGTGTCAGCACTCCTTCGAAGTTATCAAGAAAAGCTTGACACAATTGCCTGTGTTGGCGATTGCAGACCAGGACAGAACATTCCATGTGGTCTGTGACGCCAGCGATTTTGCGATCGGCTATGCGTTGATGCATTACGACTCAGACGGCGTTGAGCGCGTCGTCTGTTATCAATCGCGTCAGCTGCAAACAGCTGAGCGGAACTATCCAGTGCATGACAAGGAACTCCTTACCATGAACTATGCACTGGCTAAGTTTAGGGTATATCTCTTAGGAGATAGGCCCTTCATCGTTAATACCGACCATGCGTCGTTACGCACGGCCGTAAACAGTCCACACCTCTCGCATCGATGGCGAGGTGGCTGTCTTTCTTCGCGGAGTACAACTTCTTCGTCGATTAGTAACCAGGACGGCTTAATGTCGTCGCTTATGCTCTTTCGCGTCGTCCCGATTTCTAGCCGACTGCTCAACCCAACAGTAGGGGTAATCCCACAGTTGCAACACTAACAGTGAGTGTTCTGTCGTCGTATCTGCTCGAAGACGTGCGGAAGGCATACGCAGAAGATTAGTCTCTTCTGCGATTGATGGATTACGTGTCTAATTCACGCATTCAAGCTTTGAAAAGCTTGTCGTCTCAATACCGCTCTTCAACCGAACGTATTCTGTTCGTGATGGACTGCTGTACTATACAGCAGTCAACGAAGACACACTTCGTGTCGTCGTTCCGGCTCATAATGATTTGCGATTGCGCATCATGTATGAGTGTCACGATGCCTTGACAAGTGGGCATAGTGGTAGAGAAAAGACTTACCTCATGGTGAGTAGTGACTGCTACTGGCCCCTCCAGTATGAGTTTGTGCGCAAATGCATCCGCGCTTACGAAGCATGTCAACGGGTGAAACCTAGTCCTTGATCCCGCGCACCCTTGCAGCCTCTTTTAATTCCGGCAGATTGTTGGCAGTCCGTATCGATGGACTTCGTCTTCGGGTTTCCCAAAGACGTTCACAAGAATACTGGTAATCTTGTGTTTGTCGATCGGTTCAGCAAGCTGGTACATCTGGTTGCTGTACCGGAGTCAATCACATCCCAAGGATGTGCACGTGTCTTGATCGATACTATCTTCCGACTTCACGGGTTACCCCTTGAACTCGTGTCTGATGAAGATCTCGCTTCACAGCAGAGTTATGGCAATCCGTGTTCCGTTCACTTGGAACACGTTTGAGGATGTCGAATTTTGACCATCCAGAAACAGATGGTGAGACGTACGCGTCAACCGCGTCCTCGAAGATATACTTCGAGGGTATTTCCAATCGTTTACGAGCTGGAGTGGGTTCTTGCCGATGGCAGAATTCGCCATCAACAACTCGGTGCACGCATCGACAACGCAAACACCGTTCTTCGTGAATGGCCTACGCCATCCACGTTTACCCGCCTTCTTAGATTGTGACTCTATTTTAATGGGGGGGGTGGACTCGCTCGAACAAAAAGCGATCCGGATCTTGCCCATCACCCGTCGACAATGGTGTCGATGTGATGGATGCCGATGTCGATTCGATCAATATCGATGATGATGACGACGATACTGGCATATTCAACATCGCTAACGACTGCCACAGTGAGGACGATGATGCCCTCACTGGTGAATGCAACGTTCTTTCAGCAGTGCACACGAAGCGCACTGCTGTTGACAAGGATGAATCAGCAGAGTAATTTCTGCTGACTCGCGAAGCGGTTGTCCGCTTCGTTCAAGACTCTATTTCAGATGTAATAGAAAGACAGAAACGAAACGCAGACAAGCATGGAAGAGCAAATGTTCTTTCATTTGATAAAGGAGACCTATTTTCACTGTCTACAGTAATTTACGGAAAAACACAGTGACAACGTTGGCAGCAGTAATTTACTGCTGCCCAAGTATATCGGTCCATTTCGTGTGTTGTGCCAAGTGGGCAACGCATAAACGATTAAACTGCCCCATAAGATGTGTACGCATCCTACGTTTTTACGCTGGACGTCTCCGCCCGTAATATCAGTACGAGCCCTTTCGAGATATGAAGCACACCTCCGCGATCAAGTGCTGAGACCACCTTCGAGTGGTCCCGTTTCAACGATCCAGTCTGGTTGACTAGCGAAGCGACCTGTTCACACAGTTGAGCGATGTCTCGACGAGCTACAGCCATCTCGTCACGAAGAGAACGAGTCGAACGTTCGTTCTCAAGTTGCGCGAACGCAAAAGCGGCACGATCGTTCGAACGATCGTGCGTTAGGTAATTTTAATTATCGTAATTATCCTTTTTACTATATCCTCAAGCTTATAACGCCGAGTCCGTTCGTGAGACAGGTCGTCTTGCAACTGTTCCGTTACACGGTTCAGCTCTTGAACATTAAGCTGGTCCGAACCTCGAGCCGGATCAGGTGTTCCCGCCGCCACCACATCCTTTGGTGGACTCAGGCGGTTGTCAACGCTTTCTGATGACGCGTATCTTGAACCACCGCGACGCGAATGGCGTCCGGACGGGTTACCTCGTCCGCTGGCGTGGCTATCCACCGGCGTGGGGCAGCTGGGAGCCTCGTGCCCGGCTGATTGTTGATGTTCCGGGTCTCGTCGAGCAATATGACGAGCCCACCCTCTGCGTTCGAAGAAGGGCCGTCGGAAAACGATCTCCCCGAACGCGAGTACAGGGATTGCAAAGTGTCAATCCCTTCGGCCATATCAGAAGAGATGCGCGCTCTCCAGTAGGGAACGTTAGGGGGGAAGGCCTCCCTAGGGGAACGGTTCGAGTTGTCCAGGCAACCTAGACACGAATCACCCCACGATAGACAGGGTAATCCTATCTCTCTTGAAAG